GGGGAGGGAAGAGAGTTGGAGATCAACCAAAGGACTTGTATGCATGCATATTAGTATAACCAATGGATATGGACACTGGGGCGGTAGGGGCATATCCTGGGGGGCGGGAGTGGGGGGGAGTCAATCAGGGAAAAAAAGGAGACATATGTAATACTTTAAACAATAAAAAAATAACTGTCTTTAGATTGCCTTGAGATTTTTGGCATATAGTAAGTCCTCATGTGTTAGCCATTACTATCTACATATTCCTATTCATTTTACTTAGCCAAGTTCATTTTTAAAAGAGGTTTGTGCTTAATTTCTTTAGTAGATCTATGTTTAAGGGATACTTAAATAGGAGCAAACATTATTTACATTATGTAGTTGTCTGAAATGTTGGATTGTAAAATCCTTGGAATCAGGACTTTTCTTACTCATCTCTGTATTTCTATTTTATACAGATAATGTTTACTGAATCAATAAACATAATGATATCCAACAAAAATGTATAATGAGTTGTTAAAGAGTAAAAATTATATTTTGATGTCAACTGTAATCAAAAATAATTTTTTTAAACAACCTATATTTTGGGACATATCCCATATTGTACACTTTATAGATGTCCCAAATCATTCTTACAATTTAGGTGGTAAAAAGAATTGTTTGGTGTGTTATGGTTATTAAGTGACTATAACCTTGTCTAACAACTCATGCTCTGCTACCAACCATACTTTATATTTTCTCTGTAGCACTTTGTGCCACCTGACATGTAAGTGTTTCTTATTGGTCATTTCCACCCATTAGAATGTCAGCTTCATGAGTATAGGGATGCTGTCTTGTCTAGTACTACAGTCCCAGCACCAGAACAATATCTAGAACATAGTTTGAATAAATAAGGTTCGATGGGTGGATTTTGAGAAAATGAAATTTGTAGCATTTTATCCTAGGGTTAGATTTATAAACACCGCTGTCAAACCACTTTGTCTGAAATCCCAATGTATAATTTTGGATAAATTATTTTACCTCCCTGTCACTTAACTTCTTCACCTTCAAGATGAGAGTTAATACAGTACCATTTAAGAGGGCTGTTCTGAGAAGTAAATGAAATAATCCTTGGAAAGCACACAGTAACCCATGTATTTAGGCAAGCCATCCTTATATACTTATGCTAATTCATTTTACTTAGACTAATTGGTTTTAAAGGAGATTTGTGCTTGCTTTTATATATATATATATATATATATATATATATATATATATATATATATATATATATATATATATATATATATATATATATATATATATATATATATATATATATATATCTATATGTGCCACCATTCTTTGTGGTAGTTTCCAAAGATGGACATATCAATTCCTTCTCTCCCTATACATGCATGCTGCTCAGTACCTCAGGAAGTGGAGTCCATTTCCTCTCCCCTCGAATCTGACCTGGCCTGGGGTTGCTCCATCCACTAGCATGTGGCGAACTAACATTACACCAGTTCTGGGCCTAGATGTTAGGAGAAGGAGCCACATGAGAGGCACACAGAGGAGCACCAATGCACCAAACTGTGAGCATAGCCTTCTTGGACCCTCCAGCCCAGTTCAATGAGGGAAGCCACTGGAATGACCCTGGCCAAGGCCTTGCGGACCAGACCACTCAACTGAGCCTAATCAACCACAGATCGGCTTAATAAACACAGCCAACGTTTTAAACCCCCAAGCTTTGGGTTATCTTGTTAAAAAGCAATAGAAAACTGAAACATTATCTTAATTTTGTCACTTAAAAAGACCTACTAATATTCCATCAGCCTAGTAACTTATAAGGCTTTCGTAAGCCCTTTTGCAAGTAATGAGAATTTTTCAAATTCCTTCACACGTTACCAAGACTAAATTGCCATGCAAATTTTTTAATACTCCACCCGATTAATTCAATAAGCCCCTTTCATATCTTATATCATACAGTTAAATGAGTTTTGCAAACTTCTCTGTGTGTTGATGGAACCTTCTTTAATAAGTGTAGTGACCGAACAGCTCAGGGCATAGAGAGGGAGGGTGGGCTCATTAGCACTTCTGCACCATGAAATGAATCCTGCTCTTGTTTGCTGATTCATGCAGGCAAATATCCCGATTTATTTTTTATGATGGGTATTGGACAAGTCATTCTTGTTTTAACTTGATTATTTATAGCTTTCATTCTTTATAAAACTCAGTGAAAATGACATTGCAATTCACTGTATCAGCATAAACAGAATTGTGCTATTTATTTTTTAGGTTAATAAGAAATTTAAATTATCATTTTATTGACCTTTTAGGCCTATATTTTAAAATAACTTTGAGCTATTCAAATTCTTGAATTGGTTTTCACTTAAATTAACATGTTTACAGTCTAACCATTCTAATGAGAAGAACTTCCATGTAGTTTCAACTTAATTAATCTATAGAATTATCCAAGAGTTTATTGTGGTCATGGTGGAAATCCGCTTTTGCTAATAGATTATGATTTGCATACAAACCACTCCCTTAATCTACTGACTCTAATAGTGTCCACATGTGTGCAGCTTTCAATGTTCCTAGTTCACACAGAAAAACATCACTTCTGTGTGCAACATCCAGCCTTTTCTTGACTAGGCACAGATTTTGTTGCTGTTGATTAGTTTCATACTGGCACACTTTCCAAAACTGCTTAAATACATCTGTACGGTTTTGAAGATTTATTTTTTCATTTCCTAAAATAATAAGCTTTAATCACCAAATGTGTCAAATATGAAACTAGCTAACATATACTGCTCACTTACACTGAACTTGAGAGGCAATGTAGAAGTTAAAATTGTTACTATCCTTATTTTGTAAGTAAAAAAAAAACACAGGCTTAAATCATTAAGAAATGTCACAAAGTAAGTTTCATAAGAGAACTGAGTACAGGTCACAATGGCTCAGAGTTAGTACTCTTGACCAGTCACTTTACTGGCTCCATTATCATGGAGCAGATGAGTACAATCACACTTTCCACGGCATATGTGCAGAAGGATAAAAAGCTACCTAATAATAGCTACCAAAATAGTCATTGCTACCACATTACAATTGATTGCCAATTAAAATAATGTTTCAATATGCTCTCAAGTTCTGTGTTATAAGATTTAGATCCAAATAAGTTTCTTTAGTTGGACTTTAGGAACTATCATTCAAGATTAGCTGAGGGAATTTAATTACCATTATAGTTCAATTGGAAGAGAGACTCCTAATGTACAAACATATAATTATTTAAGGGATTCTGGGAGCCACATGCAAAACTATAAATTATACTCATAAACCAAATAAATGCCAGTGAATGCAGATGCTAGAGCTCCCTGAGCTCACCTCTGTTTGTGAGGGCGATTTTGCATCCCCAGCAATATGTGGTAATGTCTGAACACATTGGTGGTGAAAACTAGGAAGATGCTACTAATATTTACAGGGTAGAGGCCAAAGATGCTGCTATTATCCTATAATGCACAACAAAGAATTATCTGGCCCTAAGAGTTGATGTTTAAGAAAACCTGAGCTAGTGTGTTCTCCCTGAGTGACATTCTGTAGCAAACCTATGTTGATGGATTATTATAACTAAGTAATATAAACTCAATGGTCATTATCAATAGAAGAAGAAATAATTTTCTATATGAAATATAAATGAAGAAAAAATAGCTATTACCACTGCAATCCAAAGTTTTCAAAAATTGTAAGCATTTAGAACTCAAATCATTTCTCTAAAGAGTCAAAATTCCCCTCCATGTTGTCTAGATAGAGGTTTCACGGCTCAATGATCCAACTTTCTTATATATATATTTACTCCAAGGATTTTCACAAAGTTTTCATACAATTGACTAAATCAACCAAACCAAAGATATGATCAGGATCTAGGAAAGCGCCATGGAACTTAGTGGTACAAACATCTGTCATTACAGACATTAAAGGCGTGAAAGTAAATTCTTAGGTACCTTCCCTTCTTCCACAAAGCTCTTCTTTAAGTACTTTTCTACATGAAGTGCCCTATAGTTTTCTATATTTGCTGTAGTTTCTATCTTAACTGAACAGCAAGTCTACAATGTTCAATGCTCTGGGTGCCATTTATTCTCCTTTCCGATCATTACCCCCATGTCACAAAAATATAAGACACCGACCTGTGCCATGACTTTACAGAGCCACTTGGGTTCCACAAAATATAAGTTACTTAACTGCAGTGCTGGGTCTTGGAAATGAAGAAGGACCCCTGGAGTAAAAAAAATCAAACAATGAAACATGAAATCTAGATATACAAACATCAAAGAGCAGGAGAATCTAGTCCAACCTCCTCAATGACATGTGACACAGTGTCAGCATGGGCATCCTAGCTCTCTAGCCCTAACATCCAATATTATAAAGAAGTATTTTTTAATGATATTGAGTGATCATATATCAGCATATTTGAGACAATGCCTTGTATTGCAGGGCATCTATTTACAAGCAAACAGAAATTCATAATTTTCCTTTTGGCTTTCTAAATATGCAATACAAAGACACATTTTATTTTTCAAATAGAGGTAAGAGACATAGAATATCCTAGGAAGCTACTGGTTTAAGAATGATGGGAAGAAGGAACAGATTATAATCCACGTGAAAAAAAATTTCATATAAAAAATTATATGAAATTTAATATAATTTCATATTAAATTATACTATTTATAATTTAATAAATTATTTATACTGATCAAGAACATAATTGAGAGTTGTTATGTATGAGGTCATGCTGACAATATGTGATATAACAGAGCAAGATCTGCACTCATAGCTGCATCTCAGGAAACCACTGATTCTCAAAGTGCCCCATTAGACCATTCCAATAATAATTCTCTTCTCCAGTAGGCAAGCCACTTCCACACACACTAAATTCATTTGATACTTTGAAAGAATATGCCTTATACTCAGGCTTCCACAGCTCCTGACTAGTACAGTCAAGACCTGGAACCCACACATTTACACTTTTGCTTTTTCCATTGTTGCCCTTAGATGGTTTCCAATGTTTTCCTTATGACAAGACATATGATTTAACATCAATGCACAGGATGATCTTCCAAGAAGGCAGACATCAGCGGCCTGTGAAAGAATTCTGGAGCTATTCTGTTAAGTAGCGACTGCAAATTCTAGCACGGTTCAGATCCATTCTTATAAATTACCATAGCCACGCTTTGAAAAAAATTTGAAACAAATAAACATCCAAACCTGATTCATTTAGGAAGTGCACTGCATGAGGAAGCTCATTTTCATCTAACTGCAGTTGATTTTCTTTCACGAGTTGTAATAATCGTTTCCGGTCAATTACAGGAAATTCAATTGGCACATTTTTACGCTCCGATAAAATGATTTTCTCAAGTTCTACATAGCAGTCTGGAATCAGCTGCCCAACAACAGGCTGATCTCGGATCTATGTGATTAAAAATGACAAGCTGTAAAAAATCCATTGTATTCATATATTTGCCAGGTGGTGGGTAAATTCAGTGCTAATAGGTTTAAAGACAGCGGTATATCATTCAGATGTGTGTTTTCAACTAAAATCAAAATGTGATTTAAACCATTTAAATTTTGAGGGATAAATAAAATGGTAATAAGATAAAAATATGAACACAGAAACCAATTTGAAAAGACTATCAAATAAAATAGTATGGAATTATTTACCCAGCAATCCAGAAAATACATAGCAAAAACCTAACCATAAATAAAAGATTTTCTGTTTTTTAAGACATTAAACATATATGCAATAGATATGCTAATATAAGCAATCAGTACTACAAGAGCTTTTGAACCTTGCTTATTAGATGAAAATATCCACCCCGTGAGGTAAAACATTAAATTCTGTGCTTCTTATTTGCAAATGTTATATTAATGTACATATCAACAGCGAAGCCTGGAGACAGACATGATATCTCCTCACCTAAACTAGGCTTTTTGTAAAACCTTAAATTTGAGAAAATAAAAATCATCAAAAAACACTGACAAAAGAGGATGACTTCTGTTCTGTGACACTCTGAATTTAATAACTGCATACTAGCCCTGACTGGTTTGGCTCAGTGGCTAGAACGTCGGCTTATGGACTGAAGGGTCCCAGGTTTGATTCCAGTCAAGGGCATGTACTTTGGTTGCGGGCACATACCCAGTGGGGAGCGTGCAGGAGGCAGCTGATCGATGTTTCTCTCTCATCGATGTTTCTAACTCTCTATCCCTCTCCCTTCCTCTCTGTAAAAAATCAATAAAATATATTTTAAAAAATAACTGCATACTAATTGAAATGTAAAATAAAAATACGTTAAATTGCCTTAAGATGATGTTTCCGATAATGACAGTCTTTTCCACACATTTTTTTCCATGAGAATCTAATTTTAAATAGAAATACAGCTCTAACAATAGTAACTAAAATGCCTTTGAGAACCACCAGGTGGCAAACTCTCCCCATTTCTGGACCCATGAATATATTCTTGTACGTTGTTTACCTGACATACCAAAATTCCTACCTAAATTATTAAACATATTACAAATAGAAATTGGATTTATAAACACACATAAAATTTAACTTGCTCTTTTTCTACTTGTAACTAGAACCTTAAGGAGCTTCATTTACAGCTGCCATAACCACTATTTACATATTTACCTCCGAACAGTAATTTGAAAGACTGTGTTCATCTATCCCTTGCCCCAGAAAAGTAACTATAACTCTACTAATCTCCACTTTTCACAATCCCTCTCTGCATTATTTATAAATTAAAATAAAACAAAACTTCAGGTTGAAGTTTATGTTTTAACTCAAGGAGGCAAACCTACAGTTAGAAATAAACAAGGGTTTTCACAGAAAGCAAATCATGTAGAAAAAAGATGAATTTTATAGGACTGGGCTCCAGGGCCAGCAAAGAATACCTGCTAATGGGTTGGACAAATTGAAAGGAGTATTGTTCTGTTTTGTCCTATTTCTTTTAATTTGTGTCAGGTCACCAACAGCCTCTCTCTCTCTCTCTCTCTCTCTCTCTCTCTCTCTCTCTCTCTCTCACACACACACACACACACACACACACAAACACCAGTTTTATTCTAGAGTTTGCACAGATACATGTTAATAAAGGTGAGACAGGAAAATATTAGCGAAGTGCCAAGATAAAAGAAAGAAGAAAAAAATGAGAGGGCGGAAAAAATGATCTCCCTTAGATTAAAAGCTGCTATTTGAATATGGGTTGAAGCACTGCAGGGAGAAAAGAATATTAAAGGTCTAGCAAGCTCGTTGGTTCTAGGTCATCGAAAAGAGTCACTATTCTGCAAAGCAATCAAATGAATTTTCAAACAAAAGTGCCAGAGTGATGTATACATTAGCAATATATACCTTTCTTCAAATAACATTTCTATTTTTCAAAGCATTTCTTTTACATCCTTGCATGGTGTTGCCTTCAGATTTCATTTATAAATGCAGGAAGAAATATGCTTTTACTGATTGATAGTGACAACATGTTATTAGACAAAAGCAGTACTAGTCCAGCTTGATGAACTAACCACTTTATCCATAGTGTTTGTTTCAACAAAATTCAGGCGTTTTCAAAACAAACTTAACCTCCAAGGGGTCTTTTTAAAAAATATAATGTATGCTCCAACAGTAATGATAAAAAGAGAAGCTATTAAAATAGTATAATTAACAACAGGTATAGTCTCAGAAAAAAACCACCTGGATAAAGACAATATTTAACTGGATGAATGACTTCTGTATATTTGTTTCTTAAAAGTCATGTTAATCTCTAAACATATGTCCCATGAGAGAGTAGGAAACTCAGAAAATAAAATAATATACCATTCCTCTTACATAAAATGCCAAGAGTGACCCACCACTGGCAAAACCTTTCAGTGACTGAGATAAATGTGCTGAAAGATACAAACATGCAAATTGTCTCCTGGGACACCACGAAGACCAGCACATTTACAACAGGCTCATTAGGCTTTGGATAGCTGCATAATCAGTGGAAATGGGACAGAACTAAGCTAACCGGCAGACACGTTATAACCAGGGCGACCATCACATTCATCATCCGGAATGCTTGATTGAGGACATTGTGGGACACTATTTATAATTATGCTGGCACTGTCCAGGCAAAACAACCCCTTAGTTACAAGCCATGCCTACATCATTAGTGCTAATGAGCTAAGCCAACAGGAACTAACAATGAAGGTCACCACTGTGTTTCTCATATTACAATGTCAGGGCCTATTCCACACAGTTTACATCATGCTCTCTGGAGGACCCTGGAAAATTTCTCTCTCCTGTATTAAAAATAAGTGTTCTGCCTGGCCAGTGTAGCTCAGTGGTTAAGCATCAACCTATGAACCAGGAGGTCATGGTTCAATTCCCGGTTGGGTTATATGCCTAGGTTGCAGGCTCAATCCCCATTGTGGGGCGTGCAGGAGGCAGGGATTCAACGATTCTCTCCATCATTGATGTTTCTATATCTCTCTCCCTCTCCCTTCTCTGAAATGAATAAAAATATTTTTAAGTATTCTGCCTGGTAACTAATTTATCTGTGTTTTATAAACCCAATGAATTGCATTTGATTTATTAGAAAGGCACTTTAGAAATCAAAGACATCATTCCTAAAATGAAAAGACCTGTTGGTATGTAATAAAAAAAAATTGCTTACACATTGATGAAAACCAACTTAGTGATCTTGGCAACCAAGTGAAAAGCCATCTCACAATGTTGAGGGAAAAACATCTATAGCGGGAATCAGAGGAACAGGAGGTATGGAGGAGCAGCCTGGAATAGCAAGAGGAGTATACAAAAGGAGCTACCAACGAAAGAAGCAGGAGAAGAAAAAACTGAAAAACTAACAGAAGAAAGGTGATCCCAAGGCCTCAGTATTCACATTTACCCTGTTGATTACAGCACCCCTGGAGGAAGCTGGGAGAGAAAGGCATCAGAATCATTTGCTCAGGTTCTCTCAGAACCACCCTCCATCTCTCATCCCCTCTCTTAGATCCTCTCAGGCCCTCTAATTGTTTTTATTCCCATTTCTATGAACCTGAGATGAAGTATGGCATGAGTAATTTTAAAACGGAAAATACTTTAATAACGCTAACTGATATGAAAAATACCTCGTCTTCTGCCGTTTCTAAGCAGTTGTGTAGCATAAGAATTAATAAGTTAGACTTTTCTACCAGACCCCAGTAGGCATTAACTACGTTACCTTGAAATTGAGGCTCTCATTTATGATGGTTTTCCGAAGTTTTGCCAAAGCATCGGATTCCTCGGTGGCGTTCACAAAGTGGTAATCGCGGATTGCGGGAAACCCCCGCTTGTTCAAGAGCTCCTTGTTGATTTTACTGATGCAGGCTTTGCGCTGCTTCTCATCAGAAACATCCAAATGTGTGCCCACAAGAATCACAGGGGAAGAGGAAGCTCTAGCCTACAGAGAAAGACGCAAAATACTGATTACATTTCCACTGAAATTCACTCGAGTGGCAGTGAAAAATTAAAGGGCATCATGTAGAAATCAGCTGCCTTTCTTTCCTTAATCCTAAGAAAAATAATGTAACGTTAAGAAATTTTAGAAGTCGTTTTTATGTGTCTTCTCAATTCAATTATTAACACGTTTCAGGTGGGTAACTTTCTAAGTGTGCTTTGGACTTCCAATAAGCACTTAAAAAACCCACGAATTATTTCAGTGTCATGATATGGTTTATATTTTCTCTTCCTTCTCTGCAAAATCAATCTCTTGAATTCACTTCTAAAGTTGTTCTATTCGAAGTCTACAATGGGGGAAAAAAAAAACCACTAAAGTATTACTGCCATTGTAATATTTGCTCACTTTGGCTAACTATAATAAAGTAGAAACAAAAAAGAAGGTTTCAAAAATTACCAAAATGACAAAACGAGCTTGTAAGGAATAACTGGCAGCAAAGGATAAAGTGGAAACTAACAAAGAGATTCCCAATATAAGAGCATATCGTCAATTATACTTCAGTTCACAAAATAAATAAATAAATAAAGGAGCACATGAATCTGGTGCCATATATAAGCGTAAGATCTGAAAAACTTCCTACTAAACTGCCACTATGCATCTTCAAAGCTGCACAGATTGGTTTTCTTTAGCATAACTTATTTTAAGTTAGAAAACCTCATATTCCATTTTAAAATATGATAAACATAGTTTAGCATGTGTATTTCCCATTTTTATAGCTGAAAAGGGTTCCAAGTATCTATAACACTCACCAATACGGAACACCTTATTTTCATGTCACAGCTTAATTACTCTGAAAATTTCCCAGCTCAAAATTTCAGTGCTGCTAACTTCCTTAAAAAACAAAAAACAAAAACAAAAAAAACCACCCCACAAAACTCTTAAAGCAACTCTTTGCCTAAAGTAAATTACCTTACATACAAAAAAAATGAAAATGACTCAGTTTTCTCAAATGATTAGAATAGAGCACCTTTATATTGAATAGCCAAGGCTTCATAGCATCAACTTCCGCCTGTCCTTTGCTGAGGTCATAGACGGCGAGGTACAGGGATCGTGGGGTCATGAAGTGCGGGTGCGTGCTGTAGAATTCCTCCCGACCTAAACAGAGATTGGACACTCTTTTTGAGCCTTGCTTCTTTTCAAAACAGATTTTTTAGATGATACTATACACAATTTAGCATTAAAAAAAGGGGGAGAAGAACAATCAACGATGCTTAGAAGACTATAACTGAGTTTTTACTGGCGATTGAGAACTTCTGGCTGAAGTGTTAGCTATGAACCCCATACTCAGCTTCAGCTGCCCCTACAGTTTCTAACATTCCCTTCCATACACTTCTCCGTCCTGGTGGCAAGGGTAATGTTGGGGGAAGTAAACAGCTCTGGAATAATTCCATAGGATTCACTGGTCTCTTTGCAGTATTGGAACAGAAAACTCAGTTTTTAAATCCAAATTCTAAATAAGAGATCAACATGATTTTAAAATTCTAGCAAAATAAATACCTGCGAAATCCCACACATTTAGAATCAGGTCTTTCTTCCTTTTGCCTCTTATTTGGATAGGCCAGTCCTTCACGTCTATGCCAACGGTGGCACTCTGCATCTCAGCATCTGATTTCTTGGTTTTCATTAATTGCTGCAGTAAGGTGGTTTTACCACTCCCCGTGTTTCCCACAATCATAAGTTTCATGCGGTTATAGGGCACAGCCTTTTTTAACCGCTGTTGAAGAAACCTGGTATTAGAAAGACAAAAATAAAATAATAAACTGTTTAATAGTATACTTAAAATATAGGTAAATTCTTGTGCATTAGACTCTTTTAAATGTCAGCTTTTAAAAA